CATGTAGCTACTAATTTTTAAACTACCAATAAAGATACGAGCAAGGCCTCACCTTAATACCAAAAAAAAAAAAAAATGATTTAAAAACTACAAGTTATCCCAATTCTGAATAAATATATGTATTTTTTTTTTATTTAAATAATAAAATATATGTATTAGCTTTTAATACTTTAAACCGTAAATGTGTACAAGATTATATTCCAGATAATCATATAATTGTTTCAATAACTATTTAGTTAATTTCGTGCACTAATAATAATAATAATTTATGTTATAAAGTTAACTTTTCTTTTGCACTACACTTAGCTAATATTGTTTTATATCTTTATTTGCACATAATATGAAAAAAATCATATTTATTGTATAAGAGAAAGAAAATAAGTGGTTTATCTATTACTAAGTGACATTCAAATTTGCAAACAACTTATAAGTCAGTCTAGATATCGCATGTAAAATTTTAATAGTAAGTCAAATATCGATGCACCCAAATTTTAAGTGAAAATTTGCTTTTTCTGTACTATTTAGCCAAAAAGAAGCTGCTGGTTTAATTTCTAGGTATCATCTGCAAATTCTTTAGCATTTGAAGATTATTTCTATGAAATTTCAAGAGAGGTTAAAAATCAAACCCAAAAAAATCTTAATTACAAAGTTAGCTAATTTTTTTATAATTTTTACAAAAAAGAGTGTTAGTATCATATTTCACAAGCAAGAAAACCAAACAAAGTTAATATATCTACCCAAAACTGAAAGACCAATTTCAAGAGACCAAGAGAGGAACACTGGGAAAGAAGAATGTGTATTAGTAAATGTATTTTCAAGCAAGAAAACCAAACAACAAAGTAAATATATCCACCCAAAACTGAAAGACCAATTCCAAACAAAGAAGCCAAGAAAAAGTACCAGGAAAAAAGAAAAGGTGTTAGTAACATATTTCACAAGCAAAAAAACCAAACAACAAAGTTAATATACCAACCCAAAACTGAAAGTCCAATTTCAAGAGACCAAGTTAGGAATATCAGAAAAGAAGAATGTATGTTAGTAAACATATTTTCAAGCAAAAAAACCAAACAACAAAGTAAATATACCTACCCAAAACTGAAAGACCAATTCCAAATGAAGAAGCCAAAAAGAAGTATCAAAAAAGAAGAAAAGGCATTAGTAATGTATTTCACAAGCAAGAAAACCAAACAAAGTTAATATACCCACTCAAAACCAAAAATCTAATTTTAAGAGACCAAGAGAGGAACACTAGAAAAAAAGAGTGTGTGTTAGTAAACGTATTTTCAAGCAAAAAAACCAAACAACAAAGTAAATATATCTACCCAAAACTGAAAGACCAATTCCAAACAAAGAAGCCAAGAAGAAGTATCAGAAAAAAAAAAAAAGGTGTTAGTAACGTATTTCACAAGCAAAAAAACCAAACAACAAAGTAAATATACCCACCCAAAACTGAAAGACCAATTCCAAATAAAGAGGCAAAAAGAAGTACCAGGAAAGAAGAAAAAATATTAGTAACATATTTCACAAGCAAGAAAACCAAACAAAGTTAATATACCTACTTAAACTAAAAGTCCAATTCCATGAAGCCAAGAAGGCAAGAAAAAAGGGCATTAATAAACCCAAAATCAAAGCTACCTGTTTCCAACAAAGTGATCAAATTTGACAAAAAAATAAAAAATAAACGTCTAATTATCTAATCTGTGATTGCTGATCCACATGCATGAGTTAAATATTTAACTTTAATTGGTTTTAGTTTATTTAATTTTATAATTGTTTAAGTTAGTTTATTTAATTTTATAATAGTTTAATTTATTTAACTATTGTCACATGAAACTAATCAGAATTTGCCCACCTTTACTAAAGATCACACCTAGTTTATAGTGCCCACCTATACTAAAAGAGATCTGATTTTACTAATTTACTTCCCAATATCTGATTAGATGATGATCTTTCTATTTCTGATTAGCCAGCATTGATTATATAGAAGTTTTGTAATGATCTGCACTAAGTAATTATTTTTGCAATAAATTTTAATTTTTTTAAAACTTTTAGTAATTGTTTTTTGACAATTACTAAATCAAATTTGATAATTTATTTTTTATTTTAATCTTATAAACATATACAATAAAAATAATTAATTTTTTTTAAAATTAATCTGATAGTTGTCAAGAAATATTCATATAAATTTTTAAAAAATATATTTAATATTTTAGAAAAACAAAAATTAAATTATATTTTTTAAATTTTAAATAACAATTACCTAATCAAACTTAATAAAATTTATTGTTATACTGTGAAAAAAAAAGTTATACAATCTTAAAATCATATATATATAATTATAAGTTTATTGAAATAGTAGATAAAAGTATATACTTAGTGATGTACTGTGTATAGTACAGTATGCAAAAAGTTTTTAAAATATTCTAAAACAAATTATTAAAGTATTTCTATATCAAAATTTTGATTATAGAATTGTCTTTCACATTCTAACAGAAATTATTTCTTGCACAATATTGCATATACAGTTGACCCTCTTAGAATCAGTATGCATGGTGGACAGGTTTTGTATCAGCTTTAAAAGGTTATCAGATTTGAAAACATAGTAAAATTATTAGATTTATATAACAGGAACAGACTTGGTAGACTAATTTTTTATCAGGTTTGACAGGTTATCAGCTTTGACAGAATTGGTTTTGAGAGAGTTAACTGTAATTAATTTATAAATGTTATATCTATTATGTGTATTATGTATGCTATATATACTATACAACAATATATACTGAACATACTATTTATACTATATGCAAAAAAAAATCAAATATCATATAAATAGCATATCTATATGTATACTAAAGAATAAATAAAAGAATAATAACCAAATTAAAGTTTTTTGAATTTACTTATGAATATATGTTTGTTTTTTTATTTATTAATACTATATTTTATTGCACTTGTATTTTTATTTTTTATTTGTAATGCATATTTTATAATCTGTTACATTGTAAAATTTCTTAATATATGCTAATTAATATTTTTAAACAATAAATAATTAAGTTGATAAAATTCTAAAATTTCAACTTGTATATATAACAATAAGAATTAAAATTTATTTTGTTTTTTAAACTTAACATTTGGTTGATTTGAGTGATTTTTGAGTTACTAATTTGTAACATGATCTCAATTTTGGCAATTTTTTCTCTTTCCTTTTGTGCAGATTGTTGAAAAGCTTTATATATACTATGAATATCATATTCTTTCTTTTCTGTCTACTCTACAATAATTGCAGCAAGGTCTTCTTAAAGCTTTGTAATTACAATAGTTTTATTATATACTTTGATGTTTACTTAATTAAAAAAGAACTAAATTAATTATTATATATTTATTTGTAAAAAGTCAGAATTAGAAATTAATTACTTATTATTTTTATTTTTTTATCATCATTATAATTAATATAAAATTGTAATAATACAGAAAATATATATTTGTAGGCTAATTGGTATTTTTTAAAGTCTAAACAAGTACAAACATATAATGCAATATCTAAATTGTTATTATTTGCTAGATGTTTCTTACGGACAGAATATTCAACATTATTGTTTATTACTAAATGAACTAACCAAGTATTTAATTGAATTTTATAGATATCTTTTTTATTTATACTTTTAGTTCTAATAATTTTTCAAATATGCTGTTGGTGCTGTTGTTGACTCATTTGACCAATTTTTAAGTTATTCAAAAGAACAGACAAATTTATATCCTGAAGAACAATTTTTATAAACAAATAAATCTTACTATCAAGTCAATACCCTAGATGTCCTCTTATAAATGTATATTTTAACTTGTGGTAGAAAGCCTCAATTAAATTATTAATATCTATTATATTACATAAATACCTCTAACATATATAATCCATATTTTATATTTGATTTTCATCATTGTTCAAAATAATTAACAAAATCTTGTATAGTTTGGTTGTTTATTTATTTTATTTTTTAATTATTTCTATAACTTGTTATTGTACTTTAGCATCATTTTAACCTTTTGTTCTTATTAATCTTTACAAGTTCTTTTAGACTATTATCTTATTTGGGTCAATATATGCATTATGCTTATGTTCTAGCCTTCTATATCAAAAACATAATACATAAAAATGACATAAAAATATAGAACTGTTTAGAAAACTATTCTTAATTGCTCTTATCTTTTTTCTAGTATCATCTATTATAAATATATCAGGATTTAATCTTTCTTTATTAGATTTTAAAAAATCAAGTTATTTTATTAATATTAAAATTGTTTAAATTTATTTATTAAAAAGACAATGAGATACCCACTTTCTGTTATAAAATAATGAATTACAATTGTAAAAAGATGATAACTATAATAGTTCATTTAGTGAGTGTTATTTAGACACAAAACTCTTGCAATCTTTGTTAATTCTTTTTGTTTCTTTGTTTAAAATATAAACAAAAATTTGATATTATTAATTCTATTATTGTATTCATACAAATAACCTTCATCTTTATCAATTAACTTTACTTTCTATTTTTTTAAAGAACTTAATTTATTAGTATCAAAAAAAATAAGTTTTCTTATTATATTATATATGATTTTGTATATATCATCCTTTGTTATAAAAACATCTTGTAGTAACTAAACATCTCCTAAGTATTTTCTAGTATTTTTTATCTGATTATTAATTTCAATTACTCTAAATTATAAAATTTTTGTATACTAAAAATGTTAAGCCTCTTAAAGGTATAATTTTGGATAAAACTTCTTATGTTTTTAGAAAATAAAAGTATACATAGATCTGATAAATACCAGAAAAATGATTTATATATTTCACAATCAAGTCATTACTAATCTTGGCCTTACTCCCTCTTACCCTGTTCACAATGGTATTGACCAGGGTGAAACTATTACTCCTCTATT